GGCACATATGTGCCTCTTGGCTTCTAGATGCTTGCTAAAAAAGGATTTTTCGAAATGACCATCAGATCATTAGTATTTCTTATACAGTAATTAATACGCTCTGATGCTAAGGAGTTCTACTCCCCCTCCCCACCTGAAAACAACTCTGCTCCAACTGCCACTTGCCTCACATTCCGTTACCTCAGTTCAAATTGGCAGACGTTCCACTCCTTCACTCAGGAGCGGTCTGGGGCTCCTAAACATCGCTACCACACCAAAATGTCTACCACTTCCACCCATGGAACTGCTTCCGGACTCAAGGCGGCGGGAGCGACATCCCCTCATGTGTTTCACTCACCGACCACCCCTGAGCCAACGGATTGTGAACTAAATTTCTCCCGCATAGCCCGATCACATCCTTTTGTCGCGAAGCACGGGGACCCAGCTAGTATGTAAATAAATTTAAAGACAGCCTCTTTGGTGTGACGGGAGAGATGCTGGCCTCATTCGAGAAGCTTCTTCAGCTCCGACTGGATGACGAGGAAAGGTTTATACCCCTTGGAGACAGCTGGTCATTTGCATCCTTTTGGAGAGCCGTTGAGGCCGCTTGGAGGTTAGTCTGTGTCCTCAGGGTCACCTGAGTGGCGCAAATGGGGGTGGAGCCTTCTTGGAACTGTTTAAAGGACTGTGTTGTAAACTGGAGATAGTTGAGGTCGTATTCCTCCCCCCCTCTGTTGAAAGAGGGGTGTTCAATTTTGACACCGATGCCCTCTTTGACTCCTGTTTCAAAGCAACGGTCCTCTTTGTCCAAAATGTGGACTTTGCTGCCTTCAAAATGGCCTCCGTCTTTTAAACGCAGCTGGACTGCTGGATCTAGTCCCGATGGGTTCCTTCCATGTTGTGCCATGCGGTTGTGAAGTGGTTGTTTCGTTCCCCCAACCTCCAGATCTGCACAGGTCTCACTGCATTTGTACTGCATATACTACCAGGTGGCCTCAACGGCTCAACTAAAAGGATGCAAATCACCAGCTGTCTCCAAGGACAGACAGCTGTTCTATGTTGTGCCCTGCGGTTGTGAAGTGGCTGTTTTGTTTCCCCAATCTCCAGATTAAGTATTAAGTATTTAATAAATTTATAGGGCCGTCCAATCCCAAAGGACTCCGGGCGGCTTACAGAAAATACATTGAAAAAGAATTAAAAAATTAAAAAAGCAGAGAAAACAGATTAAAAACCACATCAGTGCTCTACATGGGGCTGCCCTTGAAGAGTGTTCGAAGACTCCAATTAGTCCAGA